CCCTCTTCTAGTCATTACTAGCCTGCAAGGTCCAGAATAGAGACATATTGTACGAAGATTTCTAAATCACTTCTTTTCTACCATCTTTTAAAAAATTTAATTCCCCAGCATAATAAAGTCTGTCCATGTTTGGAGTATGTATGTGGGCAGAGGGCGGGGGAAGAGAAGGAAGTTTCATAGACCTCAAGCTCTTTGGAAGAAAGTTACTTTTAAAATATTTAAATTATTAATATTTAATCAGTCAAGCCGTACAAGTATTTGAGTGCCACTGTTACTTACCAATGATCTCTCCCCAGCCTGCCTTCCTTTGCTTCAAAGGAAGACAATTAAGCAAAATAAAACAATACCTCAGCTAGGACTGACATTATATACCTTCCTCCATTCCAGTGAGAGAAGGGAGGGTCGCTTCACAATCAGCGGACAGAGTCATTATTTGGGAGTCTATTACACAGACGCTAGATCTTCTTTTCCTTAGGCTGGGAGTGATTTATTACTTACGGTAAGAATGTGCTGTTCAGTATATGCAGAGTCCGTTGTCAATAGAAGATGCTCTCTGAGTTCTTGTTTTTCAAGGTCAACACACGTTGACCTTGGCACTTTTGTGATGTCTTGCTCAATGAAGAGAATAGGAGAGGCAGTGCTGTGAAATAGCAAGAGGGCTAGATCCAGACATGAAAGTCCTGGGGTCATATCCCACCTGGGACACTCACTAGTTGTGTTTGACCTTGTACAAGTCAGCCTCTCAGTAAAATGAGAGGGTTGGGTTAGATGGCCACTAAGGTCCCTTCCAACTCTAAATCTATGATTACAAGATCAAATCAAGTCTAGGTGAAGGAGCAAATAGAGCACTGGTCTTGGAATCAGGAAGACCTGAGTTCAAATCCAGTCTCATATACTTACCAGCTGAGTAACCCAGGGTAAATCACTTTAACATCCATTTGTACAAATGGAGGTAACAGTAGCACTTACCTCCCAGGATTGTTGTATGGATCAAATGTGATAATTGTAAAGCACTTGGCAAACCTTAAAGCCTACTATATAAACACTTGCTATTATTGCCTGAAAATTATATTGCTTGGAAAAAAAGGCTCTAGGTTTTCAGGATAATCTTTAGGAGGTCATCTAAGCCAGTTGTCTCATTTTACAAATAAAGAAACTAAGACCCAGAGAGAGGAAATGACTTGCCTTTCAGGTGAGTCACACTAGTGTTTGTACAACCAATGAAAAGAACCTTAGACTTACAACCAAACTGCCTGAGATCTGGTTCTGGACTTATCACCAGCTAGGGGGGTGATTGGTCATGTCCTGAACTCTGAAGAGGAAAAGGTATCTTAGAGGTCATCTGAAAGCGGTGAAAGGAGTTTCACGAAGCTTAAGACACTTAGGACACTGGGAGCTTATGCTTCTCATATTAAGAAACTGACAGGCTATAGCCCAAAGGTAACCTAGATTCATGACAGTCATTAGAGAGTGGCCCCTAGCGATGCTTAGGAATTTTTCTCTCAACTTTGGCAGCTTCTTTTTTGACATGCCGCATTATTGGAGATGTCAGGCAGACAGTAAGTTTGGTACAGAGTGGGTGGGACACGGGAAACAGCAAAGGAATAACTGGGATGGATGAGCCCTGATCTCTAGTTCTGGGGGAGTGCCATCTCTGGATACTAATCAGTCACCTAATCAGCAGCAAGACTCTATTGAATACCTAATGACAAAAACAGAAAAACGGTGCCTGCCCTCAATGAGCTTACATACTAGTGGGACCTTTCTCTCTGCAGCTGACCTCTGTGAGGTAATTGCCTAGTAGGCATATTTTTGTGTCAAAGGTATGCCCAATTTCTAGCATTACTCCAAATTATTTTCCAGGATGGTTGGACCAATTCAGTGCTTCACCAACAGCATGTTAGCATGCCTGTCTTCCCACAGAATGTACCTTTCCTTCCTATGAACTCTTTGAAATCTCATCTGGGAGAATCTCAAGTGTTTGTCGAGCCATGCCTAGCTTTCCTATCTACAATTGCCTAACTACTCTAATAGCGATTTCTCACTTCCACACTCACTACTCCATACCTTCCCCCAAATACCCCCAAACAAAATTCCCATTATTCTCACATCAGAAACCACTTTATCCTTGTCAATGAGAATCAGATCCAGAATAAAATTTCTCCTTGTTGATTTCTCCATCTTTTAAAGGTGGAATCCTAAACAACAACAAAAAAAAAATCCTAAAAGCAAGTCAAGAAATTATTAGCTACTTTTATTTTGGCAGAGAGAGAGCTCCAGATCAAATCTGACTAATGTTTCCCAGATTCTTCATCTTTATCCTCTTTCTGTCCATATGGCCTCTGATGGCAATATTACCTTTATTCTCACTTTCTTCTCTGATCTTCACCCATGCATCTGCCCTTTGTAAACTTCTTCACTTCTTACATGCCACACTATCCCACCCTTGACTGAAACATTGTCACCCCTTCGCCTTCTATTCTCCGGACTAGATAACTCCCATTTCTTTACCTTCTCCATCAAGAGGCTATTTTCCATCTCGATTCATTTTTACTTGTATTATCTGGAGTTGCTTCTGTTTCTCTTCAAAATCAAAATTTCTTCCACAGTAGTCCTGCTTTCACGCCACCATCTTGGCTCTGCCTCCCACAGTAGTCTTAATGGCCTCAAATTTTCTTGGGCTTGGAATCTCCATAGGGTGGTATTCCACTCATAGATTCAGCTTGTGCTAGCCCATCTGACCTACACTCTCTTTAAGCCTATAACTCCACTTGATTCAATTCAGTAAATATTTGTTGTGTATTGGGAACAAGAAAATGAACCTCCTTCCCTCTTTGAGCCCTGGGTGTGTTACATTGCATATACTCTCAGATTTAGTTGATGGATTGGTTAATTGGGATGTATTGTTTGTTCTTTTTCCCTCTTTTTTATTTCTGAATATAGGTGGTGGCTCTCTGGGTAGGGATAGGACAAGTGATAGTTTTGGAAATGAAAGTGATGGAAAAACAAAAGACAGCTATTATTATTGTTGTTGTTGTTATTATTCATGTGTCCTTTCTCTGTGGAGAGCATCCTTTTGTGGAGCTATATGTCTTTCAGCATGGGAATGGGCTGCTGGAGCAGCTGCCTGCTTCTTCTGGCCGGCTGGACAGGCCCCAGCTGTTCCCTCTTCCTATAAACTCCCTCCTAAGCCCTAAACAGACCCATCATCACAGTTCCCAGGAGCAGCCGGGAGGAAATCCAGACACACTGTTCAAATACTTTGTGAATATCAGTCATGTTTTCCCCAATGGCTTTTGTGGGTTTCGGACCAGAAGAATTCACAGAACACTTTGTGCTATGAAGCAGACACTTCAGACTGGTGAAGTCTGGTTCCCTAGAGGCGGTAAAAGGAAGGGAGGGAAAAGGTAGCTCATATTGTGTGTCTGGTTCAGTTTTGTCGGGTTTGTGTCCTCAATTCCCAGGGCACAGGGCTGTAGGGCATGTTGGCTTAGCCTGTTTCTTGTAAAGGAACCTGTAGACACTCTCAGACTCACACAGACACAGACTCACTGCTGACCGGTTGCTACCATACCTGACGAGAGATTTACCTTGGGGTTTGACATTAAATGCACTGAGGTGTAATGGATGGTGCACTGGACTTAGAATTAAGAAGACCTAGGTTTGACTCCCTGGACAAATCACTTAATGTCTGTGGGCCTCCGTTTGGGGATTGGATTTGATGATCTCTGACTTAGTTCCATTCCAGCTGTAAATCTGTGCTCATATGAACCCAAGGGAGAAGTACATTTAGGTAGTAAAACCTGAACAGAAAAGGGCCTTATATGGTGGTTGACACATAGATTTGTAAAGTTAGAAGGGACTTCAGTGATCTCTATTCCACCTTCTTCATTTTATGTATAAAGAAGTTTAGTTCCAGAGGCAGCTGGGTGGCACAGTGGATAGAGCACCGGCCCTGAAGACAAGAGGACCTGAGTTCAAATCTGACCTCAGAACAAACACTTGACGCGTACTAGCTGTGTGACCTTGGGCAAGTCACTTAACCCCGATTGCCTCACAAAAAAAAAAAGAAGAAGAAGAAGTTTAGTTCCCATGAATGACATGACTGGTATTGAACAGAAATGTCTTTTTAAGTGAAGTCTATAGGTCTTCCTTCCAAGACCTCCTGACTTGAAACACATGCTTTGAAAAGTATCTAGTGTTGTATAGATGTAAGGTTCATAGGGTCATAGATTTAAAACTGGAAAGGGACCTTAGAGGTCATCTAAGTGAACCCCCTAATTTAAAAGAGATGAAGAACTTGAGGCTTGGAGAAGTTAAGTGATTTGCCCAAAGTCACGTAGCTAGAAAGTGTTAGAGTTGGGATTTGAACCCAGGTCTTGCTGAATCCAGGTCCAGTGCTCTATCCATTGAGCCAGTGGTGTCAAACTCCAGTAGTAATGGGACCCACGGAATATTACATAAGGATCCCTGAGGACTGCTTATTGACTTAATTTTAAAATATAACATTACCTATGTTTTATTGTATTTTTTATTAATTTATTTTAAATGTAAATACACAATAAGAAAAGAAAAAGAAACATTATAAACTCAAAGACTAAAACTTAAATATAAAATAAGAAAAGGAAAAAAAGCATTGCCATGTGCACAGCAGAACATAAGAGAGGATTCCAAATATACAGCAATAAATTTCCATTTCAAAAAAGTTTATATAATAAACACAACACATTTTATTGTATTTTTTATTTATTTGTTAAATATTTCCCAATTTCATTTTAATCTGGTTTAGCCTGCACTAGGGAGTATTGTGGGCTGTGGGCTGTATATTTGGTATCTCTGCAGTATACCAAACTGCTTCTCAAAATTGTTTGTTGCATTGGCTGGGAGTTGAGCCTGGCCTCTGCAATGACAGGTGAGAGTTCTATCACCGAGCCACCAGTGAAGATGACAGTGTTAGCCTTGCTATGGTGCAGTCCTTCACTTTTGTCTTGTCCCTGTAGCCCGCCAACTGACTGGAGCCGAAAAGGCCTCCACAGCCACTGCAGAGGAGACCGACATCGATGCTGTGGACGTCCCTCTCCCAGGGAGTGACATCCTAGAATTCAGCCGAGGCGTGACTGACCTGGATGCAGTGGGGAAGGAAGGAGACCCCCTCACAGACACTAAGGTAGGCAAACCATCCCAACAGCGGACCAAGAGCTCTTTCTTGCTCCCACCACAACCCTCAGTCGTCCCCAGAACTCATCTCCCTACAACTCAACTGAGTAATGCAATGTTATTATATAATTAAGAGCTATTATACAATTGAGTATCCAGCAAGATTGAGGGGGAGAATTAGAGAGTTGAAGTGGAAGGGCAGATGGAAACTGATTTTAGCTAAAGGAGATTTCATCCCAGTTGACCTTTTACATTTAGGGCCCAAACTCAGGGTACAGACCCAGATTCCTTCTTGGTTTTTGTTGTTTTTTTTTTTAATTTTTTTTTCAATGAGCTCTTTTACTTATTTAAAAAAATTTTTCCCCAGTTACATGTTGAAAACAATCCCAAATTCCTTCTTACGTGAATCTCGCTGGACTTGGTGTCCATAATGGCATCCATGGCCAACCCCTGTGTCTTCTTGCTATTATCTCTATGACTCTATGGCCTGAAATGACTCAGCATTAGGAGGATGGTTAGCAGTGAAGAGATTGGGTGATATGAGCCATCTGTCTCCCACTGAGTTAGATTGATTGCCAAAGTGTCAAAATATAATTGTCCAACTGCATTGTTTATTCAACAAAGCCTTCTTTCCCAGCCCCTAATCAGTCAGACAACTCTCATTGTCTCCTGTTCTGGGCCACTTAGAATATTTATCAGTGAAGAAAAGCAGCATGAACAGCTGTCAGAGCACAAATTGGCTTCTTACCCATATATGCCAATACTTCTTCAGCAATTTAACATGTCTGATATCATCGAAAAGGGTCCTGCCTCCAACAGTCTCTACTACAATACATCCATGTCTTCTCAAGCTATGCTATTCTTGTGCAAGACCTCCCATCAATCATCTACAGATGAGGTTCACTCATCATGCTGACCACCTTTCTCTTGGTCTCTTAACATTACTTAAGGATGAAGTATAGAAGCTATCTATTTTCTCCCTCCCTCACTATGTGACTGACCCACCTCCATTTCCAGCCAATGTCTCTTTGATGTTACTTCTCATGTGCAGTTTATCATTGGTAGTACAGGGTACCCCAAAAGGCTTGGTGTAGTTATAAGCTATGAAGTTAAAAGTATGGTTACTATACTTCTCTATATTAACTTTATGTAACCCAAAACATTAATTCCTTAGTGACTGTAGCATTCCCTGATTCACAGCCATATAACCACACCAAAAGACTACTACTATGAAAAGGATGGGTTTTTGCAATTTGAGGGTCATTAAAACTATTGCATAATTTTCCAAATGCATGTAATCCACCCCTCTCTCTTTTTGTCCTATTCAATTCTGGACCCAGATAATTGTTCCTATGCAGTATCTATCCAAGAATCTTCTATACAGTTTCATCCTTGAATGCTCTTGGGATGACCCGACTCAGTTGGGTCTCATGCCAAGTTTTCTACAAACTTCTGTCCCTCTTTGGTTTGTGGGGTGATATGTCTTTTAATGGCAGCTAGATGGTGCCGTGGATAAAGCCCTGGGCCTCAAGTGAAGAAGCCTCATCTCCACAAGTTCAAATACAGTCTCAGACACTTACTAGCTGGGTGACCCTGGACAAGTTGCTTAACCCAGTTTGCCTCAGTTTCCTCATCTGTAAAATGATCTGGAGAAGGAAATGACAAACCATTCCAGTATCATTACCAAGAAAACTTCAAATGGGGTCGTGAAGGGTTGGACGTGACTGAACAATAACAACAATACGGCTTTTAATGGTTCGCCATCCTCAAACTATGGACTGGTGTTGTCCTTAGCCATCGTATCTCTGTGTTTGATAAGAAGATCAAGTATTTTTTCTAAG